CCTTTTCTTGTCACTAATTTTACTTTTCTGTTCGAGATACATATAAGTTTGATTAACTCTGTTAAAGAGCTTCAGTTTGCACCCCTTTCGTCGCGAACCCACCCAGCACCTCTTTCCAGCTTTCTCTGCATTTCCTAGTAGAGTTGCTTCTTTGAATCACAACTCTGGGCCATTCATTACTCTTACTTACTGCTACGAAAAAAAATCTCTTATTTCTCTCCGAGGCTCCCTTGATTTTACTAACCTTATGTTTGGCGTGTGGGAGGCGAGGGAGGATAATGGCGACTAAGTGTGCTCAAAATATGAGACAGAGAGAGGAGAGGGTTAATTCTGAGACACGTGAAGCCTGGCCAAAAACCCACTGTTTCAAAACAACGCAAATATAGCCCCCAGAGATGCAGCAGTAGTAAGCACAGGAAAGCATGGGGTTCCCCAACCGATCATTGCAAGGGCCAGCGGAGCCGGAGTCTGCACAGCCTTGGAAGTCCGGGCAGGTGTAGGTGTAGATGTGGCAAATTTTTATTTTATTTTCCAGGGGAACATGTTTTTCTGGTGTTCCTTGCCCCTAGTTGAGCTCGTTTCTAATTTGTTAAGGTAGCAGGACAGATTCGGCAAACACGCTGTATAAAAGACAAGATGCCACGAAAGCGTCTCAGAGTCGAACTGCTGAAGTAAAAGTTTCTGGGCTACTCAACACTTCTGGGTATGCACTGTGCTGACGTGTTGCATCTACTTAGCTGTGATGTGCTTCTGATCGTACCATGGTCTTCTTGCCCAGAACGAGGTTCTTGGAAACGTCTATGAAGCACTACCTCTCTACTCCATCCTTCCCTTCCGGGGCTTTATGATGATAGGAGAAGGCTCTGGGGACCAGTCATCTGTCATTTGAAAGACTCAAGGCTGAGCAGTAGAAGGAATTGCCTGGCTTCCAGACAGCCAATCTTCCTGTCCATATGATCCCTACATGGGCTGTGCACTGAAACCCTATTTCCTATCCTGGCCTTGATTCTAACTGGTTATGAGGGTTTGGACGACTCACTAAATTCCTCTGCATCTGTTTCTCTACTCAGCAAATGAAAGGTTTGAAGTAGGGAATTACCCAAATTTGCTTTCCACATAAAAGCCCACGATTACTAGTGACCGGCTTACACCTCGCCTCCATCACCTCTAAAGCACAGAGTGTCCTATCCACGTTCTGGGAAGTGGTGAAAGCATACAGTGCTCTCAGTAAACCTTAGAGCGATGCAGATGTCAGCTGTCTTCCATATGACTCTTTCTGCAGCTTCCTCTCCAGGCCATGTTTCAAGTTTCACCATTTGTGCCAAAGGAGACATGGCTTCTTGTGGAAATTCCTAAAATCCTGTCTTCCGAAAAAGGAAGCCAAGAGATCAGTGGGGGCAAGCGGGGCTGGTGCCGAGGCCAGTCGGATCTGCTGGTGCCGAGGCCAGTCGGATCTGCTGGTGCCGAGGCCAGTCGGATCTGCTGGTGCCGCCGAGGCCAGTCGGATCT